TACAAAATAAATTAATTTAGATAATAAAGGATTTTGTTTCCTAGTATGGTTGCTGATTGAACACCACCAAATAACTGAATTGAAGGTGTAAGCTAACAGTTAAATACTTGAATTTTGTATTTCCTTTTCAAACCACAAATCCTAATACATTTTAGAGATTTTTTTACTTTCTATACAACATGCCTTTCAAAGTATTTAGTATGGTTACTGTTCCCAACAGAGAAGCCCTTAAAAAAAGGAAATTATCTTATTATAATTATATCTTTGGCTATTCAAAAAAATGGTGGTCATCAATGAAGGAATTCATCATTTGGTTGTTGAAAAACACCAAAAAGGGCAATCATTGAACAAATTACCAAAATGTTTAAAATTTCTAGCTTCTAAATAGGCTAAAAATGAACTATTGATAATTAAATTTTTAAAAAAGATATGGTTTCTTGTTCCATCAAATCATAATAATTGTTGAATAATGATGATGATAATTTGATCAGTTGCAATAAATAGTGTGGAATTGTTTTAGAAAGATGAATACGGAACCATACTACAATCATCTTCTTAACCAACACAAGTAATAAAAAATTACATATTTTTGGTATGGTTCCTGCTCCATGCTAAAATGTCTTTGGTCTAATAACTTTTTAAGTACATAAATATTTTTAATGGTTCCAATTCTGAAAGATGGCGTTGATTCCGTTTCTAGTATCTTCTAGAAAGAACCATGTTAAAAGGCTGGTTTGTGTCCATTTACCATTAAAATACAATTGCATGAATAATGTACTTTTTATTTTACAAAGTGAGGACATTGTTTAGGTTAACACTTAGGAAAAGTTTTCAGTGTGGTTCCCCTACATATAATTCAAAATTTTTTAAGACTGGTTCCTACTCCTATAAATTCATAAACATACAAACATTGCTAGAATAGGAAGAGTTAAGTAGGTGAATTTTAGGCCTAACAAAGTTCATGGTCAATAAAAAATGTCATTAAAAGAAACCTGTCTGAAATAACCTTGACCTTTTTCTTTGTATTTTTAACTTTCTATTCTAAAATTTTCTAATACAAATAGACTGGCACTTATTCATATCATAATGTTGGCAGAACGATTAGCACTGAAACCAGACTATAGTAAACTTTACAATGCATATGAATGGGAAAATTAATTCCTCTATTATTCATTAAAAATTTCTCTTAGTGTGGTTTCTGTTCCTTTTATTTTAAAGACTGCTTTTAAAAATGGTTTTCTTTCTCTTTTGAAGTCAAAAAATCTTACAATATGTTATAGTGTGGTTACCCGTCCCAAATTGAATTATAATTCTAAAAAAGTATCCGGATAAGCTTTTGCATCTTTCAAGGAAGATATACTCGAAAATATTATTTAGTATGGTTTCCCGGAGAAATATTCTATTATAGTATATTATTGTATATATATACATCCTAATATGGTTTCTATCCCCACAAAAAGCAGACAAACAACCTATTTAAAAATGTCTGTTATAGTTTCTATTTAAAAAAAAGATTGTTTAACCAAAATTTGGATTTAGTGTGGTGCCCTGTTCTATTTGAAAAAACTTGTATTTTTCCTAAATAACAAACTCAACATTTAAAAAGTCATATAGTATGGTTCCAGCCGTCACAAAAACAACTCATTTTAAAAAATATCCATGGTTTTTCAACTTGATAAGCAAATTTTATTTCAAATTAATTTCAAATATCTTTGTTATCTAGAATTCCCTATTATCGTAGTAGAGTGGTTCTCTATATGCCCTCTTACAAAAAGTCTATAAACAACCATACATTTGAAAAGTACCCTATGAATGTAATCTATTTTAAAGAAGACTATACCTAAAGACTGGTTCTTGTTCTTTTATAAATTAACAATTATATTGTCTTTCCAAAGACAAAAAAAAGTTTTCATACTAATAGCTACACTTAATATTATTAGTGTGGTTGCTGTCTCAATCCAAACAAAAAACAACAGATTTGAAAATGTTAACAATTGGTTTCCTTCAAAAAGAAAAGATAATGAAGATATTTTTTAGAATGGTTCCTATTCCAATTATAATTTATAAAAACAAGATAAACATCTGTAGGCAAATTAGTATGGTTGGTGGTTTGGGATTAAAGGTGACTGTAGAATAAAATTATAAAAATTTGAAAAGTCCTTTTCTTATTGAGAAGAGTGGTTCCTGTCCCCCACAGAAAAATACTGTATTCTTTTTAAAAGGTATGGTTATTAACTTATACAATTAATTATGAAAATATTAAAAAAATTTTTTTAATGGACATCTCCGTGAAATTGGAAACATTTTTAAAAATTTTTTGACATTTACTCAATTTCAGTGGAAACTGGTAATTTATAGAAATGGGAAAAAATTTTTTGCAGTGCTCAATTGTATAAATAGGTGAAAGTTTACAACATTCGTCACTCATTAGTCGAAGCGGTTACAAAGTCAGATGAACTAATTAAAAAAATTAATTAGTTCTATTTGACTTCTAATTAACCGCTTCGTGTTACAATCTTATTACCGAACTATGCTTTTTTGGTCTTTTAAATTCGACCCAATTGACAAGATAACCAAGCTTTAAGACTTGCGTGTCACGTGATCACTTTTTTTTTTTGAAAAAAGAAAAAAATTTATATCTTTAATTTATGATGCTTTTTTTTTATAAAAAAAAAAATGTCATAAAAATTCTTCGGAGAACAAAACTAAAAAGTCTACCCACATTGATGAAATTCGAGATCTATAATACCTAAGTGTTGCTTATAGATCTCGCTCCTTATAAGATGATTTAGGTCACGTGATTTTATTTTCGATAACTTGTAAACAAAAATGTGGGATTTTTTTAGTCACGTGATTAATTAATCTGAAAAAAATTCATGACTCATAGCCCAGTTGATAGTACTCTCTAAAATTCTTTGAGTAGTACTCACAAATTCTAATCGGCTCGCTGATTGGTCAATTGGCTTGGAGATGGACTATATATAAGATAGTTTTCTCAGTGACGAACTATTCATTGCTATTAATCGATGCGATGAGCATTGCTTTCACATATTTGGAATTTTCCTTACTGGAGTTCTGCTTCGTTAACCTATTGAAATAAATTTGACAATGAGTCAGCATACTTCTGATAGGATTAAAACGAAAACTTTAGTCCATAAGAGTACCTGTTTTTTTTTTTGCAAAGTGCAATAAATACATTGCTTTTTTTTTTAGCAGAAAGATGGATAAAAGTTGATCTTATTACTCTGCACTCAATATCTTGCCCTCTCTAATCATTAAGAGAATAGGACTAAATCTCATTTACTAATTTGATTATTTCTTCTCCTAGAAGAAGAAAACTTAAAGAAAATAATAAAAAAATGAAAATCTTCTTTATCCTCTCTCTCTCTCTCTCTCCTTCCCTATTTTCCCAAGAAAACTTTATTTGTATTATGAACAAAATTCTGTTGACCTAAATAAGGTTGAATTAATAATAATGATGATGTTGACCTATTTTTTCATTAATTAATTCATATTATTCAAGTTGAATAGTATCATACAACTCTTCTAATCTTGAACATATAGGAGGGGATACCATAAGTCTTTTTGTTGAAAATTTTCCATTCTTGGAGCATTCAACTACAAAAAAATGTTTGTAGATGTCTTCAAATGTCGCCATCTTGAATTCAGCGCCTCTAGACCAAAACTTTTATTATTCTGATAAAAGAGAGAGAGAGATAGAGGAGTAAACATGACAAATCTCTGTGGACAGTTTATCAGCTATATTATAACTGTAACATACAAATGAGACTAGTTGCCACGCACGAAAAAAAAGCACCACTTGAAAAATATGGAAAAGTGAAAAAATGCTTGCATATATGCGGATTATGCTCAGTAATTCCTCAACCTTCACCTTTAAAATTCTTTCTTCTATATAATTTTTCATAACTTTTAAGGGAGAAAATATTTATATTAATATTATAACATCTATTAATTTAGAAGGACAGCAACCATATTAAAAAAATATATTGTGTGGTTTTCTTTTTGGGACAGAAACCACACTACAATATACTATTATACTACACTGAAAGGAACAAATTAGAAAATACATTTTAAAATGGACATATTAAAAATATAGTCTAATTTCTGGAATTTCTGTCATGATTTTCAAATTGTTGATCAGGAACCAGACTATTTACAGCAAAAAATATAATCCAATTCAAAAATACTACATCAATTCGTTAAAAAGTGTGAACTAAAACCACACCTTTACATTAATTTAAAAATTTTTTTTGTTACTAAGAAAACCAGGAACCACTCTATATGTCATTTTGAAAAGTGTTAAAGTTTGGAAAAAAGTAGTTCTTTTTTCACATTTTTACAAATTCCTAATGTCCAGCAAAGTTGACCAATAGATTAAACTCTATAATACATTTGTGGGAATAGGAACCATATTAAAATATTTTTCTTAGCTTTAACTTTAATAATGATTGTAATTTTTGTGGAATGTATCACAGAATGTGTTCACAGACTACAACTTAAAGAAACATGCAATCTAACAAGAAATGATGTATTTATTGAGCTTTTAAATAAAGTTCAAAGCACTTTTGTAGAACTTCTGATAAAGTAATACTCATGATTTTCCTGACAGATCTACATTTTCCCAATAATTTTTCATAATCAGTAACTCTCTTTTTTGAAGCGACATGAAGGCATATGGGAGAGGAACATGTTTTTAATGAGTGCAATGAAAAACAACTTTGTAAATGGGTTCTTAACAATCTTCAAAGTGTCATTTAAATACCAGACTTTTGACACTGTAAGTAAACTAAGTTGGTTTGAAGTGGAAAAAATAATCATTGTTCCATTATTTTCAAGAACATCTTTCTTTAAGAAATCATCAGGAATGAAGCAATTATTAATAAGAAAATTTCTTCCAATAGGTTCATTGGGCAATTGAATATGATATTTAGACCCCAAAGAGAAATTATCATTTTATTGAATGATACTGGAAAGATATTTCATTTCATCTCCAAAATTATGGAAGTCTTGTCTTTTCTTTTGATAACAAATGAGTGACCATTAGATACAAGTAATTCTTTGCCTTTTTCACTTCCTGTAGGGAATATTCTGAATTTACCATTGCTGTCATAGTTCACCTCTGGTATACTCTCAAAAGAATCCTCCATATTTATATCATTCTCATTAAAATGTAATATATTTCCATGAAGAGGGCTAATTACACTAATGTTATCAAAAAGCCTGGGCTCTGCATCACAATTCAGTGGTTCAATAAGAGTAACAAGTTGTTCATGATCAACAATCATTATTATATTTTGCACATCTTTCTCTTCTGTTGTATGATTAAGATCTATATATTCAGCAATTGATACTTTATTAGTAGCTTTATCTTGTAAAATTGTGTTTTCTGTTGATCCCATTTTTGGAGAGATAGGGACCATAATAGGAAAGAACAGGAACCATACTAAAAAAATTTTTCTGTTAAGAAAAATCCATTCTAGAACATTTTTGAATATTTGTTGTGTTTTTTGAAAAAAAAACAAACTCATCATAATATCTCATGACCTATAAAAAAATCAAAAAGAACAAGCTACCAGTTATTAAATACTGGTCAAGTACTATTTTGCTTTAAAACCAAAAGAATTATTAAGTGGGTTGATATCAAGTCTAAGAATATATTGTTCAATAGTTTCAAATTAAACTTCATGTCAAAATCAGTAAAATATGCTCTTTGCAAATAAAAACTGGTATTGATGATACAGACATTGGAGACAATAATAGATTTTTTTTGTAGATTTTTGGATTAAGTCAAGTACCAAGAGATACTTTTGCTTGGCAATCTTAGATCTAAATGACACTTCAACCGAATTGGCTACGTCTTATAAGCGTACGGCTTAGACTGGTTCCTAATGTGTATACCAGTTTAAACAAAGAATTAAAAAAAAATACAGAGTGGACACCAACCACACTAGTAAACAAATATGCTTGTGTATATTTCAAATTGTGTTTTTTGATGTGGGGATTAGCAACCACATTAAACGGTGTATTTTTAGGATGATTACTATGAATATCTTTATGTATAGGGACAGGAACCAAACTAAAATACATTAGCAATCATGATATTTTCTTGACCAAAACCTTTAAAATTGTTAGTTTTATAGACATTTATCTCTCACATGCTGTGATCACTTTTTTAATTTGTTGATCTTTAAATTCAGCACACTCACCAATGTTTAATTGGTAAATACTAGTGAAAACTTTTTTGAAGGAAGAGGAACCACACTAAAATAAACTATCAAATAAATGTGGTATACATTTTGGAACACTATTTTTTGGTGCTGGGCAGGATCCACACTAAAAAATTTAGATGATTTGATTTGTTTATGCAAAACTTTTTAAAATATCTATATTTTAAGTATCAATTTTTCACTCTTTTTTACAATACTATGAATTTAGACAGCTATTAAGTAATTATAATTATTGTCATCATTATGACCTCAGAATTATGAGTAATGTCATTGAAAAACATTTGTTCTACAATCTGCAAAGATATCATGTTCCACTTAAGCATGCCAAAATTGACCATTCAAGGCATAGCAGCAAAATTTAATTGTAGCCCAGCTACAGTGCAGAATATAAAGAATCAGTTTTTCAAATTATTTTCCTGCCTAAATAAATTTTCTTTCCTTTCTTTACCATAATTAATTTTAGACAAATAAACATTTACAAGTGGTTAAAACATTAGGAACCAGTCTTTATTCTCCTTGAGAAATATACACTGATTAAATTGAAAACCAGTCTAACATAATAATAAGAATAATGACATCCATTTTATAAAGTGTTTTATTCTGATCCGAATAAGAACCATATTTTTTTCATCTAAATTTATTATTAGTATTCAGTTTCAATAGTTTGTTTTGCCCTTCATTTTACATATCACACCAGCATTTTTTTTATTTTATTCATCTTTATCTTCAATATTTCATTTAAAAAGCATTAAGAAAAAGAGTATTTCATGAAGACGGGAACCATATTTTTGTTTTTAAAAAGAGAATACTAAAAGATATTTCTTTTTAAAAAGAGACAAGAACCACACTAGAATCTTTTTCCTTTTTGTCATGTTTTTTTTTGCCTCGGACGGAAACCACTCTAGAATAGTTTGAGCAACACTGTAATACATTTTAAAAATGACTTTTTATAGTAACATAATAATATACAATTTTTGTTCTTATGAAATTTTTATATTGAACTTGAACCATATCATATTACTATTCTTTGGATTTTGGAAGTTAGGTGAAAAAGAGCATTCTGCTGAGGACTGCAACCACTCTAAAAAAGTTGTAGACATGGAAAAAATATCAACATATGTTTTTGAATTTGTTTTGTAGGTAATGTTTTTTGTTTGGGGAAAGGGAACCACATTAAATAAATTAGTACAATTTTGAAATATATATGTTTAGTTTAGAATAGGAACCAAGTTTTTGTTAAGCGAAATTTCTGAGTGTTTTTCTGTTGGTATAGGGAACCACATTACAACAAATTTTAAAAAGGAATTTGACCAAGTGAACCACACTTTTTTCTACCCTCAACATCATAACACAATTTTTAAATTTTTAAATTTTAAAATGGTAAATTTTTTAGATGGACAGGAACCATACTATAGAAAAGAAGAATTTTAGAGGAATTGGTTTTAAAATGAGAGAAACCACTCTAGAACATTTACTTAGTTAAGACAAAACTTATATTTTGAGACATTAACAAGACATTTCCTTAATGCAACAATTTTTGGTAGCCATTTTGAAATTTAGAAAAGAAACTGTTACTAGGATCCTGAATATTTTGGATTGAATGTGAACAATTTCATAAAAACAAGACAAAAAAGTACTTTAGAGCTAATTATCAGTAAGTTATTGAATATTTTGTTAAAATTAATTTGTCATTAATTAAGCTTCATTTTGATGTCAGCCATTTTGTTTATCATTTTTTCTAATTTAAAAGGCATAAATTTGTTACTATTTGTAAAGAGAAAATAAATGGAAGGCAAAATTATGGGAAATGTGAGCTTAGCTGATATAAAAGGTTGTTTTGTAAATTAGTATCATTCACTTTTCCTGAGGATGTTGTTTTTCACTGGACACAGGCAATTTACAGGAAGATTCAAGTAATTATTGAACAAGCCTTTAACTTGCAGATATATAAAAAACAATGTTTTTTCTTCTTCAGGAATTAAGATTTGTAGGATGTCCAAGATAAAAAGTGCAGGATATGATATCATAAAGTAATTAATGACCTTACCCTTCCAGCCTACTGATAAAGATTAACTAACTTTTCAGGCCATGAAAGAAATAGGTTCCTTTAAAATAAAATCTTTATTTGAGTACAATAAGTCTCAATGGATTTTTCAAACCAGATGTGTGGACTGTATATGGTGAGGCTAGCAGAACTAATAATGATTTTGAAGGCTAAACAAAAATCTCTTCCATCAATTTCTATTCCCTTTTAGATGTCCTGAAAAGAGAAGCAGATGTGAAAAAACTTGCTAAATGATAAGATATTGATGTCAATCATTTTATGTTTTTACTCTTTTTTTTTAGACTTAATCAATTATAATCATATTCAAATATTTTTAATTCTTTTTATTCAGTTTTTAGCTTTTTAGAGCAACTGCTCTCTTTATTTACATTGAATTTCTATTCAGGAAGTTTTCTCCTGTAGCCTAAAATTTATTATTTTTCAAGAAATTTTGTATTTTTGTTCAAATGACAAGAACCATAGTAAATACAATTGAATAGGGGTGAAACCGTACCCATTGAGGGTGAAATCGTACCTGGATGAAATTTTAACTGTCAACATGAGAAAATCAAAAAATGAAATAATTAATTTATTTGTTTTAACAAATATGTGATATACAAGTACCAGTTTTTTTCAGGTCAGCCATTTTGAATTTGTTTGTTGATTACTTGATAAGAGAATCTTGAAATAGTATTATAAATATTTGTTTCCAGGCTGTCAGTTTGTCTGGATTGTGAAAAAAGACAGTGTCTTCTTCAAATCACAAGACCAGAAGATCAAGGAATGAAAGAAAGAGTTGCAATGGATGAGAATGAAGATGAAAAGATTGATGAAGAGACAACAGATAACAGAAAAGGTGATGATCTAAGAGATTCAAATACAAATAATGATGAAATATCATCAGTGAATGCTGTTGACACTTTCCAAGAAGTTATGGATAATGATTTTCAAATAATTAGTGGTGGAAGTCAACTGGGAAAGGACATTCTGATACACAATGGATTTTCATTCACACTCAAGGCTAAAACTTCTAAAAGTAGCATTTGGGTGTGCAGTAAAAGAACTAAAAAGCAGAGATGTCCTGCAAGAATTCGCCAACAAGGAAATTCATTTATAAAGGGAAGCAAAAAACACATTCATGGAGCCAATCAAAGTTTATCATCCAATATATCAATCAGGAAAGATTGAAGGGATATGTGCCTAACTGACACACATTCAAGTGGAAGAAGATTAGCAAATTTTACCAGACAGGAACTTAGGCCTAATGAACCAAAAGAAGTGGACTTTGATTTAACTAAGAATTTCATTCCTGATGATTTCTTAAAAGATGACATTTGTGAAAACAACAATAGAATCCTGATTTTTGCCACAAATCATCAGCTTGATTTACTTGGTAAATCAAATCATTGGTTTATAGATGGAACATTCAACATTTTTTAGCTTGAAGAGTCAGCTGGAAGAAAAGAGAAAATTTTCAGACTTGCTGGAATATTATGAAAATACTTGGATTTTGAATTCTACTTGGAAACCATTGAATTGGTCAATATTTGGATTATCAATAAGGACTAATAATAGTATGGAAGGATGACACAATAGAATGAATAATAAAGTACAATCAAAAGGATCATTCTATTTGTTGATTGATGAATTGAAAAGAGAGGCTGATTTGGTTTGTATTTATGAAAAACTTCTCTCTGAGAAGAAGATTATCAAATATCAGAGAAAAAAATATGGTGATATAGAGAAGAAAATATTTGAAATCTGGGATGATTATAAGCTTGGAAGGATATTAGCTGATGAATTATTAATCCAGGCATCTTATATTTATACTCCATAGTTGCTATTATCTATTCTTTTCTTTAGTTAACTTATAGTATAATACCTCTTCAATACATACATTATCATATTTTTTTCATTTCTATATGAATCAACAATAACAGTTTTACTTGGTCACAGCAAGAGATTCACCACCAATGGGTACGATTTCACCCTCAATGGGTACGATTTCACCTGGGTACGGTTTCACCTGTCACCAATACAATTTATGATTGTGATTTTTAAGAATGAACCATCATAAAGGTTTTTGGACAAGAACCTCACTAGAAAAGGTTTTTTATTTTTTTGTTTTAAAGAAGAATCCTAGAGGAACTGGATTTAAAATGAGTGACACCAGTCTACAACACATATCTGAAATGCTTTAGTGTTTTTTTTTGGAGTAGGACAGGAACCACACTTCAGCACTTTTTAATGTGTTCCTTCCAAGGAAAATTACTGTTACTCTTTTTAAAATTTGTTGTTGCTAGGTTAAAAAGTTGTCATAAATTTGTAAATATATTTTCAGAGTGGAACACGAACCATATTTAAAATTTACTTTTCATTTCCTTGTAAAAACAAAATGGCTTTTTGATAGGGACCGGAACCACTCTGGAATAAATTTAAAGTGAGTTGTTGCTCTCGGAAAATTTCTATTACTATAAAGGTTCTTTTACCTTTTCGACCTTAACCCTAAATTAGTGACTTTGTCTACTAAACCGTTTCTAAAAACAATAATCTAGCAATACTCTACAAAAATAGAATTGAAAAAATTTACATCTTGATAAAAGACGGGAACCAGTTTAAATGTGTTCTTTTTTCCGGAGGGAACAGGAAACAACTCCACACTAAAAACTTTTTAATGTTTATTTTTTCTCGACCTTCGCCTTCACAATTCCCACGACGCGTAAAGTTGTTTTTTAAATGAAGGAACTGGAACCACACTACAATATTGTTAAATGTACAGGTTTTAAGGAAAAATAGTAGGATAAAAGTTAAGATTTATTTTTTAGTAAGGAACTGGAACCACGTTAGGATACAATTTAGAAGGAACAAAAAAAACTGTAATTTTTAAGTGTGGTTCCTAAGTAATTTTCTTTACTGATATGCAACTTTAGATGTGTTTTTTGACGAGACTGGAACCAGATTAATGTTGACAAAAGCAAAAACAACATAATACATTTAAAAGTGTTTTTATTTGAATGGAGAGGAACTATATTAAAAGCATGTTAAAGAGTGTTTTGCATAAAAGAAAGCCATTTTTGTGATTGCCCACTAAAAGTATGCCTTTTTTGTAAAGTGTGCAACAAATCTGTCTTTGGAGGAGACAGGAACCAGACTAGTAGAGATGTATTTTTGGTGACAGATTTTGTTTGTTCCAATTACTTTATTATACACAAATTTTATTATTCTGAATTATAATAATGCAACCTACAAAAATAAAAAAATATTAAAATATAAAATGACAGCCATTTTGAAAAAGAAAGAGAGAATTCCTATTTTTGGAAGCAGCCATCATCTTAATTTGTTTAGTCAGTTAAAACACTGATTCATTGATGGATATTGTTGATTCATATAGAAATACAAAAAATATGGTAATATATGTATTGAAGAGGTATTATACTATAAGTTAACTAAAGAAAAGAATAGATAATAAAAACTATGGAGTATAAATATAAGAAGTCTGGATTAATGAATTCATCAGCTAATATCCTTCCAAGCCTATAATCATCCCAGATTTCAAATATTTTCTTCTCTGATATTTGATAATCTTCTTCTCAGAGAGAAGTTTTTCATAAATACAAACCAAATCAGCCTCTCTTTTCAATTCATCAATTAACAAATAGAATAATCCTTTTGATTATACTTTATTATTCATTCTATTGTGCCATCCTTCTATACTATTATTATTAGTCCTTATTGATAATCCAAATATTGACCAATTCAATGGTTTCCAAGTAGAATTCAAAATCCAAGTATTTTCATAATATTCCAGCAAGTCTGAAAATTTTCTCTTTTCTTCCAGCTGACTCTTCAAGGTAAAAAATGTAGGAGTAATAATATCTGCAGGTAGAAAAGGTAAAGCCATCAACTTCCTCAGGTCTCTCCAGTCCTCTCCTTTCTCCATATATCTTTCAGAGTAGCCAAGAGATTAAAAAGACAATTTATGAAAAGTTGAAAAGTATCATATTTATTAACATCTTGTACCTGAATTTTTCTATAGATTGCCTGGGTGAAGTGGAAAACACAACCATGAATTTCTGATTCTGGATAGATCTTAAAGACAGCTTTCCACAAACTCATCTCAAAATCCATTGTTATTTTCTCAGGCTGTGATATTGAGGTCAAGTTTCTGATGCTCTGAAGTGTGATTTGAGTATCAGAAAAATTGTTAATGAACTATGAAAATGTATACCTTAAATGCCTTTTTATAATATTTTTTTTGTTTTGATGACATAAAATTGAAAGCCAGGGGAAGATGTTTCATTGCACCATTCTTTTTCACATAGCTATGAATAGATATTAGTTGATAGAATGGATCTTTCACAATCTTGAATGTTCCATCTATAAACCAATGATTTGATTTACCAAGTAAATCAAGCTGATGATTTGTGGCAAAAATCAGGATTCTATTGTTGTTTTCATAAATGTCATCTTTTAAGAAATCATCAGGAATGAAATTCTTATTTAAATCATAGTCCACTTCTTTTGGTTCATTAGGCCTAAGTTTTTGTCTTGTAAAATTTGCAACTCTTTTCAAGTAGTCAATATTTGGCAGAGTCAGTTTGTTCTTGGTGTTTCAAAAGAACTGTTTCTGCTAACCTTCTTCCACTTGAATGTGTGTCAGTTAGGCATATATCCCTTCAATCTTTCCTGATTGATATATTGGATGATAAACTTTGATTGGCTCCATGAATGTGTTTTTTGCTTCCCTTTATAAATGAATTTCCTTGTTGGCGAATTCTTGCAGGACATCTCTGCTTTTTAGTTCTTTTACTGCACACCCAAATGCTACTTTTAGAAGTTTTAGCCTTGAGTGTGAATGAAAATCCATTGTGTATCAGAATGTCCTTTCCCAGTTGACTTCCACTACTAATTATTTGAAAATCATTATCCATAACTTCTTGGAAAGTGTCAACAGCATTCACTGATGATATTTCATCATTATTTGTATTTGAATCTCTTAGATCATCACCTTTTCTGTTATCTGTTGTCTCTTCATCAATCTTTTCATCTTCATTCTCATCCATTGCAACTCTTTCTTTCATTCCTTGATCTTCTGGTCTTGTGATTTGAAGAAGACACTGTCTTTTTTCACAATCCAGACAAACTGACAGCCTGGAAACAAATATTTATAATACTATTTCAAGATTCTCTTATCAAGTAATCAACAAACAAATTCAAAATGGCTGACCTGCAAAAAACTGGTACTTGTATATCACATATTTGTTAAAACAAATAGATTAATTATTTCTTTTTTTGATTTTCTCATGGTGACAGTTAAAATTTCACCCTCAATGGGTACGGTTTCACCCCTATTCCCTTTTTATTAGCTCTTATTTATACACAGCTATGTCAAAAAAAGGTGGTTGAAATAAAACATGTTCCATTGGCATTTATTTTTATGACACCAAAGCAAAAAAAAAGCTATAAAAGGGCATTTAAGGTATTATTTTGAGAAATTTATTCTTTAACTGTTTCATTCTTTAGATTATCAGAAACCTAACTGTCACAGCCTGAGAATATAACAATTGGCTTTGAGATTGGTCTGTGAAGAGCTGTATCCAAAATATTTCCAGAACCACAAATTCATGGATGTGCATTCCATTTTACTCAAGCAATATATAGAAAACTACAGGTAAAACATTCATTTTTAATTTAATCTTTAGGGTTTGCCTTTACAATTAATGATCTTTCCAGTCTCTTGGATACTCAGGAAAGTATATGGAGACAGGAGAGGACTGGAGAGACATGAATACGACAGAAAACGGCCACAGGATTCTTCAACCTAAAATATATAAAACAAGAAATGAATGAAATTTTGAAAGTGTGTTTATTTGAAGAGTTGAATACATTATGAGACTACAACTTAAAAGATCATGCAATTTAACAACAATTGATTTATTTATTGAGCTACTAAATAAAGTTCAGAACACTTTACTAGAACTTCTGATGAAGTAATCTCATGCTTTTCAAATCTTTCCCAAATTGAAAATATTTTATTTTGCAGGTTCTTATAAAGCTTTCTTTGGTATCTTAATATCTTCTTTTCTGATAACATTCTTTGATATGCTGCTAAAAGGTCTGCTTCCCTTTTCAATTCATCTATCACAGAATAAAATGAAACATTCACTCCAACATTTCCATTCAACCTATTGTGAAATCCCTCAACATCATTATTTGTTCTGATTGGACATTGATAGATAGACCAACATTTTGGTGACCAAACATCATTCAAAATCCAAGTTCTTTCAAAATAATCAATAAAATCAGCAAGTTTATCAATTGATTTAAGGTAATCCTTAATTTTAATAAACTCTATTGGAATAATGTGAGATGGAAGGAATGGCAAAGCCATTAGCTGTCTCATTTCAAACCATTGTCCATTTTTTTTGTTGAAGTCTGATGAATAACCAAGCTCCTAAAAAAACAAAATTAAAAATGACACCAGTTTGAGTTTTAGGTTGAATAATACCTGAATTTTTTTATAAACTGCTTGATTCCAATGGAATAAGCATCGTGACAGATTTACATTTTCCCAATTATTTAATACAGCTTTCCAAACAGCTTTTTCAAAATCCATAACTATCTTTTTTGGTTCCTTATATTGTAGCAGTTGATTAATGCACTGAAAAACAGTGAAATGAATATTAAATGCAATTCAGAGAAAATTTCAAGTTGAACTACCTTGAATAACAGATTATATGCTTTTTTCTTTTTTGATGACATGAATGCATATAGAAGAGGAACCTGTTTTAATTCACCTTCTTTTTTGAGGAATGAGTGAAATGAAAATAACTGTGTAAATGGGTCCTTAACAAATCTTGAAAGTTCCATCTAAGTACCAGACTTTTGACACTGCAAGTAAGCTAAGTTGTTTTGAAGTGGAAAAAATAATCACTCTTTCATTATTTTCAAGGACATCTTTCTTTAAGAAATCATCAGGAATGAAGCAATTATTAATAAGAAAGTTTCTTCCAATAGGTTCATTGGGACGATTTTTTCTTCTATGGTAATTTATCATTTCTTTGCAATTTTCAACTTTTACAATATTTCCCATATTTGCAGAACATTTTCAGCTATTCGTTTTCCACTAACATTGGTGTCAGTCTTTCCTTTTTGTTTTGCTGTCACTTTCATTTCAATAATTTGTTCCAAATTTTTTTTGGGGGCGTGAATATGATATTTAGACCCCAAAGAGAAGTTATTATTTCTTTGAATGACACTGGCAGGACATTTCATTTTCTTGCTTCTAACTCCACATCTCCAAATTATGGAAGTCTTGTCTTTTCTTTTGACAACAAATGAGTGACCATTAGATGCAAGTAATTCTTTGCCTTTTTGACTTCCTGTAGGGAATATTCTGAATTTACCATTGCTGTCATAGTTCACCTCTGGTATACTTTCAAAGGACTCCTCCATATTGACATCATTCTCATTCAAATGTAATGTATTTCCATGCAGAGGGCTGCTTTCACTAAGATTGTCAACAAGCCTGTACTCTGCATCACAATTCAGTGTTTCAATAAGGGTAACCACTTCTTCATGATCAACATCCATTATTATATTTTGCACATCTATCTCTTCTCTTGTATGATTTAGATCTATATTTTCAGCATTTGAGACTTTATTGGTAGATTTATCTTGTAAAATTTCATCACATTTGCTCAGAATAATTCTGATTCTTTTTTTATCAACACTTGAACATATAGAACATAATGGGGGTCATGGAAAACGTCCACAATGGAAAACGTCCACAATGGAAAACGTCCACAAATTTATGGAAAACGTCCACAGACAATATGGAAAATGTCCACACAAATATGGAAAATGTCCACAGATTAAATGGAAAACGTCCACAAGTAAAATGGAAAACGTCCACAGCTGAAATAGCAAATGTGCACAACTTTAATAGAAAGAATTTTCTTAACATAAAACCAAAAAAAATATTTACAACAAAGAACTTGAAAATTAATTGATAAAGGATTAGTGAGATATCTTAAAAGTATAAGAAAAATATTCATTTTATACCAGTTTTCTTTTCTAGTTATATCTACTTCCTGTTTTTTTAAGCTGTTTACTTTTGAGGAAAATTCATTGAAACTGCTTTAAAACTGGTGTTATATATGTGTAATAATTGTAAGTATTATTTTTCTTTATTTATCATAATGTATTATTATTAATTGGCAGGTAAAAAGTAGCGAATTTTGAATTAAATGAATGTTTTAAATGTAGCATTACATCAGGATTCAAAATGGCAGCATGCAAAAGTTGTAACAAACACTTTTGTGGAAAGGAAAAGCAAATGAAATGTGTACTATGCAAATACATATTCCATGTCAAATGTATTGAAGGTCAGACTCTGTGAATAATTTCAGTTTCACATTTTAAATATTACTTTTTAAATAGGAAAATATTGCACTCAATGCAAAGAAATAAACAATAAAGAAGTTATTATACAACTGAATAGATGCAAATTCAAAAAAACTCAGCAGAATGAATTGAATGAAAGTAGTGCTATGCAAATGATAATGCCACCATCACAAATTGCACCTCAAGAGGAAGACATTAATGACAAATTTACTTCTCCAAAACCATCTGATATTAATTTTTCCTTTCATTTTGGAGTTTATCAAGAGCACAGGATAGCAGATGAAATGGTTAATGATGAAGAACATATTGCAGATTTTTCTAGTGAATATGCAGTGTCAACAGAAATTCCAGAAACAGTACCTGACTTTTGCAATGAAGTGGAAATTTCAACTGAAAATGATCAAGTATTTGAAAAAAGCATGTGTGATGAAATTGAGCCATTCAAAATTCTTGAAAAGGCAAGTGCTAAAGGGAAAAATGTGTTGATACATAATGGATATTGGTATACATTAAAGTGTAATCGTGGTGAAACAACATACTGGACTTGTGGTGTAAGAACAAAGAAGCAAAAGTGCAAAGCTGCAATTACTGAATTGAATTACTCCTATACATTATCTAAAGCTGAGCACTTTCACAGTCCTGTTAAAGACATTGAAAATAAACTTATTTTGAAAAAGAATGTCAGGGAGAAAGGCAAAGTTAATGTTCATCAAAATGGGAGAAGCATTGCAGAGGAAACTCTAATTGAATTCAACAAAAATGAATCTTTACCATCAATAAAATCTTGCATTGAAGTTGTTAACTATCACAAAAGAAAAAATAGACCAAAAGAGCCTACTGGTTTAAGATTTATTATAAAGCAAATGTTCTTACCAGAAAACTTCTTGAAAGTGGATATTTTTGAAAAGCAAACAAGAGTAGTAATATTTGCAACAGACCATCAACTTAATCTTTTACAATCAACAAATATTTGGTTCCTTGATGGAACATTCAAACCTGCAAATGATCCATTCAAGCAATTATACTCCATTCATGGATTTCTAAAAAAAGATTCAGAATTGAAACAAGTCCCTCTCTTATTTGCATTCTGCTCATCCAAGAAAAAATCAGCTTATAAAATTATATTCAAGGTAAATAAGATAAATTCAAAATGTATTTCTTTAAATACTGTTAATATTTTATAGGCTGTTTTTAAACTGACTAATGGATTTCAACCAAAAACTGCCATGCTAGATTTTGAAGAGAGTGCATGGAGAGCTATGAGTGAATTAGCACCTGATGTTAACATAATTGGATGTCTTTTTCACTGGTGTCAAGCAATTTACAGAAAGATTGGGGTAATGTATAAATAAAAAGTTTTTTATAACTTTTTAATAGTTTTTATTCAATCATTTATTAATAATAGGAGCTTGGACATCAATCACAATATAAAAATCGCACAGGAGAATGGTTTGCAATGAGACTACTCCTCTCTCTACCATTTCTACCATCAGATCACATCAAACATCAATTTGAAAGTATAAAAGATTATCTGCAAGAATGTAATGAGTTATCTCAACTGATTTCTTACATTCAAAATACATGGATTGATAGTACAATTTGGCCTCCATCAGCTTGGTCATGTTTCAAAAGAGCAATTCGCACAAACAATGATCTGGAAGGCTTCCATCAAAAATTTAACTCATCTTTTGGGAATAGAACATCATTTTACACAATTGTTCAAAAGTTGAAACATGAAGCAGATCTAATCAATGTGTTTGAAAAGCTTCTATCTGAAAAGAAAATCTGCAGAAATCAGAGAAAAACTTATAAGCATCTACAAAAAAAAATCTTTGAAGCTTGGGAAAGTTTTGAAAGATCTGAAATGAATGTTTCTCAACTACTGCAACTTTGTTGTTCAATTTATCATCCATAATGTGTGATTTTTGAAGTTTAAAATGTTAGTTTCTAGCACTGTTTACTTTACTTTTCTTGTAATGTAACATTTTACAATTAGTTGCTAAATACATTTTCATAAGTTTGATAAGTTCTGGTGTACATAAAAATTTATCAATAACTTTATTTAAATATTCATTTATAATATACATTTACCTAAGAATTACACTTTTTCTCTTTTAAAGATATTTGTAGTGGTTGTGGACGTTTTCCATATATTTGTGGACATTTTCCATATTTCTGTGGACGTTTTCCATATTGTCTGTGGACGTTTTCCATAAATTTGTGGACGTTTTTCATTGTGGACGTTTTCCATTGTGGACGTTTTCCATGACATCCGAACATAATCCATCTACAAAAGAAAGAGCTTAGTTTACATTAAATCAATTTGGATCTTACCTGATAAACAAGCCCAATGGACTTTATGATGACAAAGTGAACAAACACCTTGCTTCAGCTTATTAATCTTTTTCTTACATCCAAAACAATATGGTAGCATTGTGGCAAAAATCTCCTTTGAGCTGCTTTAACCTATTGGCAGGAATTTAAAAATAGTGCAAAATATTCAACCTCTTAGGAAAAACTGGTGGATAATTTAATATTTTTTCATCCAATATTTACTAACTAATAGAAAAAAATTTTAAATTAACTTATTCTATTCAATTTATGAGTATTGTATATTTCGAAATTTTGTGGCCGTTTTCTGTCTCAGTTGGTCCCTGAGAAAGCTGAAGGCTTTACCTTTTCTGCCTGCTGATATCATTGCTTCAACATTTTACAGATTGAAATCTCAACTTGCAGAAAAAGAAAAATTTGCAGATTTGTTGGAATATTTTGAAGCAACTTGGATTATGAACTCCATATGTAAACCAGAGAATTGGTGTATATCATATATTTATGCTCCATAATAATAAATGTGTTAATCTAACATCTTTTAAATGTCTTAAATTTCATCTTACAATAATTAAATTTTAAAATGTATTTCATAGCGGGATAGGAATCATACTAAAATACATTTTCGATATGTACATGTAAAACCAAAATAATGGCATACATTTTGAAAAGTAGCTTTTTGGTGGGTGATAGGAACCACACTAAATACTTTTCAAATGAGTGTCTTTTTAAGAAAAATACAACCATACTTTTTAAAATGTGTTTTCTTGAAGGGAACAGAAACCACACTAGAAATCGTTTTTGTTAAACAAAGAACACTAGAAAACATCTTAAAATGTGTTTTATGGAGAATACAGGAACCAGATTAAAAGTGTTTCTGAGTGAAGAAAGCCAGTTTATCATAGTGTAACAAAACGTTTCTAACTGGTAGAATATATAATGTATTCATCATAAATTTGAATAATTTATTCATCGTAAATTAGAATAATTTATTCATAAAAGATTTGAATAATAATTTTAGACATAATTTTAAAATTTTTAAATTATTTTAGTATGGCTCCCTGTTCCCTTTCGAATAAAATTAGAATAATTTATTCATAAAAGATTTGAATAATAATTTTAGGCATAATTTTGTGAACGTTTCCCATAATATTCGAGTTTCACCTGGTTCGAAATATTTATACCAGTTTACACATAATTCATTGTTGCGAAAACATTGATCTGCTAAACTGTCATTCTTTGAGTTCTTGTATCACAAATTTTTATAGGCAGAAATATTTTGTTATTCCTGCTTGTTGCTAAACGGTTATTCGAAAATGGAATGGACATTAATTTTTATTATAGAGCTGAGAACCAGTCTAAAAAAAAACAGATTTACTTCGACACTGAAAATGTATGAAAGAGCTGGATACCAGTCTAATTACAATAATATGTAAAAACCTTTCATAAAATCTTTACTGTAATCAATTTCTAATATTAAGTAGTTAAAAAATATAATCTTGATAAAACTGAGAACCAGTCTAACTTATTTAAAAAACGTTTCTCTTTTTATAAAAGCAATGACCACACTAGAAAAATTTTTAAGTTTTAAATACACGTTTTTCAAATATGTCGACCTTCACCTTCAACCTTCCGTTTTAGAATAAAGTCATGCAACTTTTTGAAGGGATGATAGATTATCTGCCACACAATTGGGGAGAGACTGGAACCACACTAGTTACTAGTATACTTGTAAAATATTTTATTATTTAGAAAAAGAGTATCATATATTTTAAAATGTGTTTTTTGAGGCGGCCTTAGTGCAGACAAGAACCACACTAATATACATTTACGGTTAGATTATGCACAGTTTTATTCGAAAGGGAACAGGGAGCCACACTAAAATAATTTTTAAATGTTTATAATTTTTCTTGATGTTTACCTTCAATACTATGTATAATTTGTTGACCTTCACCTTCAAATGATACGTTTGGTATGAATGTTTGAATGAACAAGGATGATGGATCTATGAGATTGTGGAAAATTGACAGTGATAATACGAGTGTTCCTTTATTTGGAAGGTCTGGCCAAACGCTTGGTTAGGGAGCTTAAAGAAATGGCGCATAGTGTGTGGAACGTTATCGTACATATATTGACCTAAGGATTGACCACTCCACGATCGATTGGATAACGAAGATGAAGAGCTGATCATATCCGCATAAAAAGTCTTGACCTTGACCTTATTTTTACCTTATGCGAATGAAAATTGAATGAAAGAATACAAGGGAGTTTTTAGTGTTGTAAAGACAAAAATTATTAAGAGATAGATGCTAAAATGACGAGTGTTTGTCTTGTAAAAATGCACCTTAACCTTGTTTGTTTGTTTGTTTGTTTTTCAGAAAAAAAAATTTATTAAAATCAGCAATACATTATTTTTTCCTGGTTTGTTTGTTTGTATATCAATTAAACAATATAAGTAATTGCCCTTTTCGAAGGAGAAATTTGCATTAAAGATTTAAATTGTTTAGCAAGATCGTCCCCAAATTCTTCGGATATCTTGAGATTTCTAATCAATTGTTTTTCTTCTTCGTTAAATTTAACAAATGGATCTACATCGTAGAAAGGATGACGAAGATTGGTGCAATTAAAAACGCAAACTCCAATACTCCATAAATCAATCTTTTTATCGAGATGTTTTCGTTTTTTCCTTAATATTTCCGGCGCTTTATATCCATCAGTACCAATATCAAAATTCGACGATGTTTTATAAAACGAATGCTTGAATCCGGTAAGTTTAACGTGTCCATCTTTAATTAGAATACTGTGAAAAGAGAAAAAGTAAGTGTATGATAAAGAGAGAGAGAGAGAGAGTATAGTTACTGATCGATTGTAATATCTCCGTGAACGATTTCCTTATCGTGCAAAAACTTTATAGCCATAAAAATCTCGTTGATAATATATTTTCGAAATGGTACCTTTAACTTCCAATTATTTAGCATCAATCTCAAGTTAAAGTCGCAAGAATCGAATAGAGCGTACATATCATCTCCTTCAAGCAACACTAAAAAAACAAAAAAGACATGATAAGAACGAAACATTCTTTTTAATAGAATCTTCGAACATTATTGAATGTTCTTTTAAGGAATAATATATTCGTTTAAAAAAAAAAAAAGAAAGAACGTTCTTTTAAAAGAATGTTCCAAATATATAAACGTTCTTTTAAAAAGAACATGATATAATATATACTTACCATCTAAAATTTGTATTGTATAATTAGTAAAACAAGAATTTAATATCTCAAATTCAAAAGGATTTCCCCTCTTTAAACTTTTAACAACGTAATTTTTTCCATTATGAGCAACTTCGAGAACTTTCGACAATGTTCCAATATTTAATTTTCCCTTTAATTCGTAGCCGGCAGTTAATAGAATATATGGTAATAGCACTTGATCGTCAGCTTTATAATTAAAAAACTAATTAAAACAGAAAAAACTATTATATTTTATTGTTTTACTTGAATATTTGTCTTTAATTTCGTGATGTTTTAGATGATTAATGATATTACATACGCTCTGCGAAGTTCTCATACAACTAGGACATTTGTGTACCACTACTCTCTTCTTTACGCCATTTCCGTTTTCTTTATTCTCGTCTACAGCCTAAGTTATTGTTGTTGTTGTTATTTTCATTTACAATCTTATTATATTAAACAAAGAAGAAAGTTTTTAACTACCTTTTTTCCCCTTTTACGACGAGTTCTTCCCATTTTCAACGAACACAAAACGAAATATAACTTTTACCAGGTAACTAATTTAATGTGGTGTCCCGTTCGATGTTTAAACAATTGTTGGTTAGAAACGGGATACCAGACTATTTTAATTTGCGCATAAATTATCATCTAATTTATGTCAGCAGACTTGTCACGTGACAAATTTTTACACAACGGCAGTAGCCTAATTTGAATATTCATTAAGCGATTAAATGTAAATTAATTTAATATCGCTCAACTATAAATCAAAATTCCAGCGTTAAGACTGGAAACTCTTGTAATCTCTAATTGTCCGGTAATAAGCCATTTTCAAACAATAAGTTTTTCCAATACCCTAAATATATTAAGCTGGTTAATCGTAACTTTCTACATAGAAGTTGTCGATATAAACGTACGAAAATAATTGCAAATTCGAAAATAACCGTGAAATGGCTAGTATATAAAAGAGGCGGGTTTTCGCTACGACAGTACAGTAAATTAATAGAGACGTGACTGATCTTCTGAAAAGAAGTCTACTCTCCAAGCTACCATATTTGATGCTTGTTTTAAAAAAAGGAAATAGACGCCCCAAATATAAAAACTATTTATCCACTCTATATAAATAGGATGGATAATTTAACTGTTTTACACAGACTTATAAGTCAATCCGGCATGCAATTTTAATGAGTTTCTAAGACAATAAAATCTGATTAAACCATTTAATTTCGACTAAATCATTTTATATCTTGCTTTGTTAATCATTTAATAAATCGAATGATTAACGAAAATGGAAGAAGAGAATCGTATTGGAAATTGGGTCAATTTTTTAACTTATTTGCATATTCAATCTCTAAATCTAAGGGCAAAAATGAAGGATTAGCGGAGAAAGATGATAAAAATACAAGAAGAAGGATTAAATCAATCTTCTTCTTCTCTCTATAATCTTAAGGATTATAAATTTTTCAAGAAATGTTTGTATTGTCATTGTTTGTTTTTCTCTTTTGTACAATTTCAAGCAAAGACAGATATTTTTCATTGAAATTACTGTTAATTTCAAAAAAGAAGACGTTTTAAGAGGCGTCTCTCTCTCTCTCTCTCTCTGAAAAGCTAAGTGTGACAAACGCACCAGAGCGATTTCAAATTATGCCGATCGTAATACGACACCTAAAGGAAACGATGGACATGCATACTATAAGATTAATAGAATTTATCAATTCTCTATTATGGACTATTGAGGCCATAAAAAAAAACAAATTGATGTTGACAGTTGATTGACCAACAATCAAATGTAACTTTTAACGATAGAGCGTTTGCTTTTAAAGGTTTACTGTACGAAAATATTTGTCACTTTATTCCATTTTCATTTTCGTATAAAACAGGGTTACCCTTTTTTTTTTTTGAATAAATCGTATATGTATATTTTTCTATCAATTATTCTCTATTGTTTTTTGTAGATTTTTAAATAGACTATTCCTTTTAAAAGACATGATTTGTAAGAGAAGATGGTGCGTAATATTTGTTTCTGTTTTCGAAAATATAACCGACCGTTGGCGACCTTCACCTTGAAATTAGGGTCATCTAAATCATGTTTATGAACTACTTATTTCTTTTGTGTTTTTTTTTTTTTTTTTTACAAAACACTGCAAAAACAACCTTTTACCGTAACAAAATAAAGTGATACTATGTACCTATAGGTACTCCATAATCAATCATTTCAGTGACCTTTACAAATGTGCCATTGACCTTGACATTGAAAAACCTGTTTGTTAATTATTGACAGTAATTAAAGTGATTAATATAATTTCCTTTTATTTTTTTATTAATTTCTTTTCACCTTGAAACATGTTCATTTTCTTTAATATAATTTAATATACACTATCCCTTTTTTCGCTCAATACTAGAGGGCGCTTTATCGATGTATAATTGATTGACAGGACACGTGATCTAGATTATTGTATAAAACTGGCAACGCAGCGGGAGCTCGTCACTTATTCATGAGAGCCCAAGTGGCTTTCTACAATAGAAACTTTTTCAAGTTTCTTTCTGATTTACTATTCAACCATACCCATTCTCAACTTCACTATTCCTCCCCTCCCTGGACAAATCTATTCCCAACATACGCACCCCCGAAGATTATTCTTACGATAAATCTTGGATTATCTTAACGATATAAAACTATGCTATTATTTTGCTAAGTTTATTCCAGCAAGTTACAAAGACCTACCAAACAACATATTATCATTTTTGTCGTTGTTGGTATGAACTAAATTGTTTCTCTATTAACGAGATGATCGATTCAAAAAAAAAATTGAATGCTGACGCAATTTTTCAATGAGTTTATGCTTCAAAGTAACGTAGAACCACTTTTATTGATAAAAAGAAAATCTTCCTTCTCTTAGGAATTTTGATATCAAAATTGAAAAAGAGATGAATAAAAAAAAAATAGGATTAAAAAAAAACAAACTTAAAAAAAATGTTTTCTTTTTTTTTTTCCCCTTTTTCCCCTAACCCTCTTTGGCTTTATCTAACCTTTTAATCCTTTTCCTTTTAACCCCTAACTCTCTTGCTTTTACCTACTAACCATTCCTTCCCTCCTCCCTTTTTTTATTGCGTTGTGCCAAAATCTTAATGACCTTAATTTTAAATTCGATAAATAGAAAAGACTGGGCAATAATTCTATGTCTTTTTTTTCCTCAAGTTCAAATAATTCATCAAAGAAATTACAATATTATACGAAAATGAGGTGAATACGAAAAAAATTCCCTGATTGAGTAACGTATATAAGACGGAGGTTGACCGACGGAACAAGCCATTTTTGAGGCAGCCTCCGAAGCGTAGAGCAAATTCGTTTCATTCCGTCTCTAACGGACAAACTTTCTGAAAGACAATTTTTAACATTGAAAAGGAATGATGATAACAATGTAAAAAATTCAGATTATTACAATATTTTCTTGAAAAAAAAAAACTAAATATCGAACTGACCGAAGAAAAGAGATTGTTTGTACAAACTGCCAAACAATTAATTTTTCATTCTCCAAAAGAATTTTGTTAACATTTGTCATCGTAAAATATTTGTTGTATTTTTTTACAATGAAGAAGAGAGATTGGAAGAAGAGGAACAAGCAAAAGCAATTGATTCGGAAATTGAAAAAGATTCAAGTGCTTTTTCTTCTTACAAACAAACAGTTTGATGATGAAAATGATGATAATTATTGTTTGCCGACGTCATCATTAATCATGTAAAAAAAAAATTGTGTCTTATTTAGTGAACCTTTCTTTATATACTATATCCAATTGACGAGAATAAGACAAAAGGATGAAATGACAAAATTATTCGTATGTGTAGTGTGTGTGTGTGTGTGTATATGTGCATATTTTGTTTGTCAATAAAGTCTGACAAAAGGCAATAACTTTTGAAAATCTTTCAACTGATTTGCATTAAACAAACCAAAGTTTTTTTGGGTTGAACAAAGAGCAATTTTAGTGTTTAAAATAAGGCAAATATAAACCCATTTAAGGATTGGTTAAAAATTGCCAAAATGATCGTCGACGTACGTCTATAAATATTCGTATTTTGGATTTTAGCAAATTCCTCAGTCATCAGATAACAGGGCATATAGAATATAGACAAAATAATACATCAGATAACCTTATAAGAAGGTTGTACTCTGATGGATGCCAGAGCCTATTTGACGATATCGTCCGCTTGTTCTCATTTTAAAACAGTTTGTGAGTACTATCCGAATCATGAATATTTATGAGGATAATCAATATCATGAATATTAATGATACGAAAACTGGTTTCGTGAGTATTAATATTAATTTAGGGTTTTTTGCGATTTTACCCTAACCCTAACACATTCTGACCTATTAAAATTATATAATCACAAATCAATTGGTCTAACATTATCAAGGGTCAGGTGTAAAATCATAAAACTAAATAGAATTATGAGTATTAATGAGAACAAGTACCAGTTTTTTTTCCAGGTCAGCCATTTTGAATTTGTTTATTGATTACTTGATAAGAGAATCTTGAAATAGTATTACAAATATTTGTTTCAAAGTTTTCCACTTTTCTTCAAATAATAAATTAAACATTTTTAAAATCTGCAATCAAGTACAAAAATTGTAAACTTACAGTTTATGGAAGACAGAAGAGAAAATTCTGTGTGCTATGAAAAATCTATCATCAGTAAGAATTCAATCAGGGTTAGGGTTAGGGTTAGGGTCAGGGTTAGGTTTAGACTAGAAGATCAATGAATGAAAGAGAGACTGTTGCAATGAATGAGAATGGAGATGATAAGATTGATGAAGAGGCAACGGATAACAGAAAAGGTGATGGTTTTGAGAGATTTGAATGCAAATTATGATGAAATATCAGTGAATGCTGTTGACACTTTCCAAGAAGTTATGGATAATGATTTTCAAATAATTAGGGTTAGAAGTCAACTGGGAAAGTACATTCTGATACACAATGGATTTCCCTTCACACTCAATGCTAAAACTTCTAAAAGTAGTATTTGAGTGTGGAGTAAGAGAACTAAAAAGCAGAGATGTCCTACAAGAATTCATTAACAAAGAAATTCACTAGACAAAAAACCCATTCATGGAGCAAATCAAAGTTTATCATTCAATATATCAATCAGGAAAGATTGAAGGGATATGTGCCTAACTGACACACATTCAAGTGGAAGAAGATCTATCCAGAATCAGAAGTAGTCCTACATTTTTTAGCTTTTAAAAACAACATTGCAAAATTACATTAATGTGGTTCCTGTTCTCCCGAAAAAATTCATCTTATACACTTATAATATTAAAATATTGCTAAAATTCTTTTCTTGTTGTTCCTTAAATTATTTTTAGACTGGTAACCCATCATTCCAAAAAAAAAACAATTTATGATTCATGCTATTAAGTTTACTTAATAATCTTTCTAAAAAAATAAACATCATCAGGGTTAAAGTTGAAAAATTTAGGTTATACTAACCCTAATGAATATTCATGAGAACAACCTAACAATATGAATATTCATGAAAATTTTTT